CTGGCCGAAGTGCTCGCGCTCATCTAACGGCAAGTGGCTGCGAATGGCTAGGCGAGCGTGAGCATCACGGGTCTGCCACTGGGAGCGAGCAGTACTGTCAGCAGTAGTGGGAGGTGCGGGAGCAGTGCCTGACGTGTGGTCATACAGGGAGACATCGTCCTTGGCAGTGATCTGGAGGAACAGGTGGAGGTCATCTAACCAAACCTCAAACTTAATCGGGCGACCCTCAGCGTCAAAGGTGAGAATAGAGGGAGTGGCCATAGTGGTAGTAGCAGCAGTAGGAACAGTAGCAGTAGTAGCAGTAGCAGTAACAGTTGCAGTTGAAGCAGTAGTACGGTAGGAACAGGAACAGGAGTTGCTGCAGGTGGGGAACAGTAGGGCGGCGCGGCTCGGTTCGGGCGGCGCGGCTCGGTTCGGGTGGCGTGGCTCGGTTCGGACGACGCAGCTCGGTTCGGTTCGGGCGGCGCGGCTCGGCTCGGGCTGGGCTACGTGGCGGTGCGCGACGGGGGGGGGGGGGGGGGGGGGGGGTGCGCGTGGGCGGCTGTAGCGGGCGGGCCGTGGCTGTGCGTGGGCCTGACTAGCTCGCGGGCGGCGGCCTAGAGGGGCGTCGCGGCGGCCTACGGGCGGGGCTGCGACGCTCTGGGCGGCTAGGGGCTGCTCGTGGGCGGCGCCGGTCACGCGGGCGGCTAGGGGTCGGCGCGCGCTCAGAAAAAAGGCCGCGCGTGGGCCGCTAGGGGGCTACGCGCGCTAAAAAAAAAAAGCCGCGCACGGCACTAGCGAGCTGCGCACGGGCAGCAGGAGGAAGAGAGGCGCACGAGGGCGCACTAGGAGAGGGGCGCTCGAGGGCGCTAAATAGATACGGCGCTCGAGGGCGCTTCTAGCGGTGGGCCCTTAGGTAATCGGTCCTTGGACTAGGACCTAGGCTCTTAATACCATGTCAGAAAGAACAAGTGATTGAACTATGAACATTGGTGATACAAGTGGCAAACCCTAGAATGATGTACCCCTTAAAGGCTGACCCACTATAGCCTACACAACAATAACATATATAATGTTTGACAGCTATATGTACTGCCCTGCTTACTAGTGCAACCCCTCTTTCGTGTTCTATCTTTCTGTCTAGCATTTCTGACAAACTCTGCCAGAACGGCAGAAGAGCGGCTTGCCAACGTTGCAGCAGAGTAGTTCTGCCAGCGTTGCGCCTAGCGGTCTGCTAGCGCCGCAGAAGCATGTAAACTTCTGCGCACATGCGCACCTACCACGTAGGTGCAGATGGACGGTCGCGTTGCAAGGCTTATTGCGCAGATGTCAGGTAGAACGCATGTCAACGGTGCCCTGGTTAACTTCGCAAAAACCTCTCCGTGCGAAGCTCGTGCACCTCTCCGACCTTCACAGTTGAGCAGCATCCGGCTGGTTCGACGCTACTCCGTCGAAAAGCGTTCGGCTGGTGTTGCTGCCATGCATGTCAATTGCTGCCATGCATATCAATTGCTGCCATGCTGTCAATTGCTGCCATGCATATCAACTGCTGCCATGCATGTCAATTGCTGACATGCATGTCAATTGCTGCCATGCATGTCAATTGCTGTCATTCATGTCAATTGCTGCCATGCATGTCAATTGCTGCCATGCATGTCAATTGCTGCCATGCATATCAATTGCTGCCATGCACGTCAATTGCTGCCATGCACGTCAATTGCTGCCATGCATGTCAATTGCTGCCATGGATGTCAATTGCTGCCATGCATGGCCATTGCTGCCATGCATGTCAATTGCTGCCATGCATGTCAATTGCTGCCATGCATGTCAATTGCTGCCATGCATGTCAATTGTTGCCATGCATGTCAATTGCTGCCATGCATGTCAATTGCTGCCATGCATGTCAATTGCTGCCATGCATGTCAATTGCTGCCATGCATGTCAATTGCGGCCATGCATGTCAATTGCTGCCATGTATGTCAATTGCTGCCATGCATGTCAATTGCTCCCATGTATGTCAATTGCTGCCATGCATGTCAATTACGTCCATGTCACCGTGCCCATGTCCACGCCCAGGGCGGAGGATGGCGGGCTGTGGCACTTCCATGCCGCCATCACAGATGTGCCCAAGGTGAGTGTGCGTGCGCATGTGACGACTTTTGAAGCGCCTCAAAAGGCACTTCCGTGCCACCATCACAGGCGTGCCCAAGGTGAGTGTGCATGCGCATGTGACGACTTTTGAAGCGCCTGTCCATGCTGCCACCATCACAGATGTGCCCAAGGTGGGTGTGAGTGTTGTGCGCGTGTGAGTTTGTGCACTTTGTACTCGATACAAGCAGGCAATGTCTCGTCCCAGGCAGTGTTGTGTGAGCGTGAGAGTTTGTGTGTCTGTTTGAGTGTGTGTGTGTGTATGTATGTGTGTGTGAGTTTGTGTGTGTGTTTGAGTGTGTGTGTGTGTGTGTATGTGTGTGTGTGTGAGTTTGTGTGTGTGTTTGAGTGTGTGTGTGTGTGTGTGTGTGTGTGTGTGTGTGTGTGTGTGTGTGTGTGTGTGTGTGTGTGTGTGTGTGTGTGTGTGTGAGAGAGAGAGAGAGAGAGAGAGAGAGTTTGTGTGTGAGCGTGCGTAGCTTTGTTCTCGATACAAGCAGGCTGCGTCTCGTCCCTGGCAGTGTTGTGTGAGCGTGAGAGTTTTGTGTGTGTGCGTGTGTGAGTTTGTGTGTGTGTTTGAGTGTGTGTGTGTGTGTGTATATGTATGTGTGTGTGTGTGTATGTGTGTGTGTGTGTGTCTGTGTGTGTCTGTGTGTGCCTGTGTGTCTGTGTGCCTGTGTCTGTGCGTGTGTGTGTGTGTGTGTGTGTGTGTGGGTGTGTGTGTGTGTGTGTGTGTGTGTGTATGTGTGTGTGTGTGTGTGTGTGTGTGTGTGTGAGTTTGTGTGTGAGCGTGCGTAGCACATTGTACTCGATACAAGCAGGCAGCAGCCCATCTGGGCATGCTGTGCGCGCAGCCCAGGCTGTGAAACATGCATGCCACCATCGCTGATCTGCCCAAGGTGAGTGTGCGTGTGCGTGCATGTACATGTCTCATGCAAGAGGGGTATCGGGCATGTTCATAGAGGCGGATTTCAACCACCGACCCTACAAGAAGCCCTTCACAATCACCACAAAGGCCATGGTCGCCCCCAACAACATGCCCTTCTCACCTTGCGACAAGCCAGAGTGCTACTTCCACTTTGTGTAACCCGCCTCAATGACGTTTTCTTGTTGATGATGACTTTTCCAAGTGTATTGATTTGTTTGTTAGGTGTTCCTGTAGCTTTTTTTGTACCGTTTGTTCTACAGATCTCTCCAAATGTGAACAGCGGAATGGATGGACTAGGTTAGTTGGAATACAAATAGACAACCCTGAAAGGGTTGTACCCAAAAAGGGTTGTACCCTCTAAAGAGTACCTCACTAAACCTGCCCACACACAAGTACCTGCCAGCCGGCACACATATACCTGCCAGCACGCACATATACCTGCTAGCACGCACATATACCTGCCAGCACACACATACACCTGCCCGCACACACATACACCTGCCCGCACACACATATACCTGCCAGCACACACAATACCTGCCCGCACACATGGTTTTTAAGAAAACATCATAAGCCGGGTGTTCATCTGGAAAGGGGGAGCCAATGGTGTTGAGGCATGTGTAGTGTAGATGACACCATATTGAGTGATTGCATCCAGCCCCCTAAGGATAAGAATTGCGCCCTTCTACGAGGCACACCGCTGAGCGCATATCTTTTAAAAGCGACGGCATCAGAGTCTCTGTCACATCCCTGGCGGATAACAATGGGAGCACAAAGAGGAGAAGATGACAGCTAAGCATAGAGAGTGTAGATGATTGGTGCAGAAGCGGAAAAACTAGTACAGGAGTGTTGATAGAGAATGATAATCACTTACGGTATATATGCCACAAAAATAAATGGGATGTACCATTCTTCAAAGAGGTCGCCAGAGCATCTATCTGTTGGGAAAATCCTGACTCCTGGGCAACGCTGATAATCGCCAGTGTATGTCATGTAATATACTGTTCCGACTTTCCCTGCGATTGCATCTGGGAGCTGCGTGCATAGGTTGTTGTCGAGGCGATAAGTGTAGGGTCGAGAAGCTTTGTCCTTGGCGGTTTCATTGGCAATGAGCGTGAGGCTGAAAGCAGAGGCGTGTCCACGACCCGCTGCAAAGGAGTGGGTGGCCCATGGAACAACTCATTGCAACGTTAGTTGATTGTTGTACATGCATCGCCACCATCAGGCATCTAGCCGCCTTGGTAGGGTGAGAAAATTTGAAGCAGAGAGGTGATTGGCTAACGGGGAGAGCAGAAAATGGACTGAGTATGTTTAACAGAAACTCACTTGGATTACACCCGCCCTGTCTATCGGTGGTGTCGTACATGCCATACCCTTCAGGGGCAGTACTGCACCGGCACTGGCGACCAGAACTTTCCATAATTATAAGTTGTTCTGCAGGTGGCTCCTTTGGGGCAGGAGCCACAGGGAGTGTCTGAAGAACGAAGCAAGCGAGGGGAAAGCAAGGGGCAAGCAACGGGAGAAGCAAGGAGAGAAGAAAGGGGAGAAGCAAGTCAGGGCAAAGAAACGGTGGGGGTTTTATGGGTAAAGGGTGGGCATTAGGGGTGTGACGTGTCAGTGGGGGTTTGCTAGAGGGGGATTGTGGCTCCATTCCAGAAGGAGACAGAAGAGAAGCCGGTCTGCAAATAGGCGAAACATAATGCTCCCTCGCTCTCATGGGGTGGACACATCCCCTCGCTCTCATGGGGTGGACACATCCCATACAAAGAAATGGCATTGAGTTGTAACGTGTGAGGCGCCTTCACAATGGATGGATGGGATTTCAATTGGAAGCTTCCATGGGTCTCGACATACAAGTGCATGGGTTGAAGTGAGAGTGGGAAAGCGGTACAGCCATGCGAAAGCAGTATAGCCATGCTCACCCCACTGAAAAGCAGTACAGCCATGCTCACTCACCCCACTGGCAGAAAAGCTCGCTGCTCTGATCCACCTGACAGGAGCCACCAGGGTCACACCCCAATGCCGCACATGCAGGATCTGCAGCACACAGGCAAGACAAGGGGACATGAAAAAGGGGCAGCAAACGAAAAAGTGACAACATAAGGGCATAGGAATGACGTAGGGACCACAGAGGGCGTTATAGAAATGGAACAGGCTGAAGCGTGTAGGGCGTCCACTCAACACACGGCTCATCACTGGAAAATGAGGTTATACGGTTCAGTGGAGGCCATACAGGCTTTCGCCTCAACACACGCCAAGATGTCACACGCCAGAGGGGGACTATTGAGTCGACTCAAAATTCTTCCGCCTCAACACACGCCAAGTTGTAACACACCACACAGGGAGGCGGCCAAGAATCAGGTTATATGGTTGCCAAGATTTCACGCGGAAGAGAGAAAAGCATCTCTGCTTGAAACCAGCAGCATTGTCACACTCACACAAGCTCTTGAGAACCAAAATCTCCAGATTGCGAACGTCAGAATCACGGCCTTGAGAAGGTGCTTGCAGCAATGCTCAACACCCTCTAAGGGGATCAGCAATGGAAGTACCGCTGGAGTTGACTTTTGGATATCAATGGGGTTGACTTTTGGATATTAATGGGGTTGACTTTTGGATATCAATGGAGTTGACCTTCGAACTTGAGGATGAAGGCACGTACTGCTGGAGCTGACTTTCAGATCGCAGAGAACCGACGCCACTGAAGCCCACTTGAGAATATCTTTCTCCGTGCTTGCGAACCTGAAACGCGTTGGCAACACAAGACCTCATACTGAGATGAAACAAAACTTTTCCTTTTGTCCCTTTCTTTCTCCTTTCCTCATTTATCCTCCCTCCCTTCCCCCCTCCCAAACCCTCCCCTCCCCTCCCCATCCATCTCCTTCTCCCCTGAAGACATGCAATGCCCGTGTGCTATGTGCCACACACGACCTGGACTAACATGGTCACACGAGCCCAACTCACATGGAGACACGACCCCAACTCACATGGAGACACGACCCCAACTCACAAAAACCGCAACTCACATCATGGACATACGGCCTCAACTCACGTGGACCCAGGCGTGAGCGGGTTGACGATGCTGTCCAGCGCCGGGCCTTGGCAGCCGTCTTTACCGAAGAACTTGACCTGCGCGCACTGACCACCCGTCGACGGGCTGCCCGACGAGAAGCCCGAGCCCCCACTGCCCGAGCCCCCACTGCCCGAGCCCCCACTACCCGAGCCCCCTCTGCCCTTCCACCACACAGTTGCGCTCTTCTTCTTGGCGCTCTTCAGTGCCTTCATCGTCTTCTTGTCGACGCCCACGCACAGCTGCCGCGTCGTGAAGTTCAGCTGCGCGACGGCAGCCTTCCCCAACGCCACGGCCTTGGCAACCTGCACGCTCGCGCTGCTGTCGCCGCTGGTGGTGGCCCCCTCTCGTACCACGAGTGCCCTCCTCGCGGCGTTGCCTTTCTTGCTCGCCGGATTGGGCCACGCCAGCGAGTCATCTCCGTAAGCTGCGGCGGCGCTGAGCGTGCCGCCATGCGGCAGTGTGATCGTTCGGACTGCGGCGGCGTCGCCGTACACTGCTGCCTTCGCCATCCCGGTCGCTGCGAGCACAAACGAGAGGACGCGAGAGCAGCGACGAGAGACGAGAGAAGTCAGGTGAGAGAAATGCGGGAGTCGAAACAGAAGCGAGCAGGAAGGAGCACAGAGAAAACGGCACGGATGTCATTAACAATACTATTGAAAGAAATAGGGACTGACCGCAAACGAGGGCAAGCGCGAGGAGCAGGAGTCCGGCCCGAGAGGCGCCCTCAGGAGTCATCCTCATGAAATCGACCCGCAGCAAGCCTTCAACTACAAGTAGTATCGCGGAAGCGGCGGCCCTTGTGGCGCAACGGAGCTGTGACGTACGAGTCACGTTGTTTGATACGTGCGGAGTGTTTAAGTGCGGATTGTAGGAAACGAGTCCTATGCAAGGGGAGACTGAGCAGTGCGGTCCTCCTTTGGTCAGACACTCCAATGCAAGCCAGTCCAGTGCAAGGCGAGTCCAGTGCAAGGCGAGTCCAGTGCAAGGCGAGTCCAGTGCAAGGCGAGTCTAGTGCAAGGCGAGTCCAGTGCAAGGCGAGTCCAGTGCAAGGCGAGTCTAGTGCAAGGCGAGTCCAGTGCAAGGTGAGTCCAGTGCAAGGTGAGTCCAGTGCAAGGCGAGTCCAGTGCAAGGCGAGTCTAGTGCAAGGCGAGTCCAGTGCAAGGCGAGTCCAGTGCAAGGCGAGTCCAGTGCAAGGCGAGTCCAGTGCAAGGCGAGTCCAGTGCAAGGCGAGTCCAGTGCAAGGCGAGTCCAGTGCAAGGCGAGTCCAGTGCAAGGCGAGTCTAGTGCAAGGTGAGTCCAGTGCAAGGCGAGTCCAGTGCAAGCAGTTCAAGTTGAAGGAGAATGGTAGAATGACAGGCGCGATGGAAGAATGGCGACCTTGCGTTGGGCTAATGTGCTGGGCTGGGTGGCTTATAGTGCGAGTTAATAGTAGTGTGACAGCAGCGTGACAGCCGCCACGCCATGGCAGCGAATTTTAGACTCGCGATATGTGTTTTGCTTGCATCATAAGTCGCCGATAGGTTGACTTCAAGGAACGCGTGCGAGCGATGGATCCTTCCGCGGGGCCTCCCGTGAGTGTCGTGGACGGTGCTTGACTCGCGTGAGTCGCGGGGAAGAAAGAAGGGGAAGCGATGGACACTTATTCGCAAACCAATGGCACAATGCGCTGGCTTCTAGCAGGACTATTTTGTTTTGTCGCTTCGAATCAGATTACGGCAATCTCGTTGACCTAGCAGCGGGATCATATGGGCGACCATAATGCGACCTATCCGTTTGAAGACTGGCTATTCGAGAGACGCGTTCGTTGCTGCAAATCTGACCAACCATATGACAGAGGTTGCTGATCTGAAGTACGATTTGAACATTCTGCTGCATGCTAGAGTGGTTGATGGCGGCGAGAGTAGTGAGGGGATTCAAGTGCACACAGATCCAACGGCCACCTGCGATGCAGAACGCGTAACATGCTCTCCCACATGTGAATCTGTTTCTCGCGTCATCCACGGCCATCGATGTTGGCTCTGTTCTGTAGGCCCTGGCGGAGGGGACGAGGGGAAATAGGTAGCTTCTCCCCACTGAGTTTTTTGGGTTCGGAAGGCGGTCAGCCCGCAAAACGTTGCCGAGCCAGCCATTTACCCTCCGAACCTGTTCGAGGGGAAATGGCTGCAGAACAGCCATTTACCCCCGTGGGTTTTGGCCCATACGAAACTACCTATTTCCCCTCCCCACCTTCCTCCTCTGGCAAAATTCACGACATTCGCCCCGCCCTTCGAAATCCGCTTTTTCAGGGCGGGGCGAGAGACATGGGAGGGAGGTACGGGGGGTGGGGACACCCACCTTCTACCCTCGATGGACATTCCCTCAGGCTGCTCGTAGCCCACTCAGAAAGGCAAAACCCGATCAACGAACATCTCCCCCCTCTCAACCATCTTGCCGAGATTGAAAACCCATGCTGCTGCTTGGTAAGAGTTGGTCGTTGCTGCGGCTGTTTGAGACGTGTTGGGAAGTTGAGTTTGCAGCCCGTTTTTCTAGCGCCGAACCCCCACTTGCAAATGTTTACCCGGCTATTTAGGGTTGGGCCCATCGTTGTACCCCTGCCTATAGGGCGCGAAGTTTTAACTGTAAATTCGCCATTTACCGTCTGCAGGTTCCGCCCTGGCGGGCGAAGTTTCGCGCTTTCGGTTGTAGCGGGGTGGAGGTGATCTCGGTTGGGAAACTGCGTAGGAACCCCGGTCATTTGCTTCGCCCCCCCTCCTCCCCCCTCGGGCAAATGCCTACAGAACAGAGCCGTTGAGTCCCATAATTCTCGGCGAGAAGCAGAAGTGAAACCCACTACAGATGTTCTCGATTAGAGTCCCCGTGAAAAACACGCGCGCTGCGGGCCTTTGTGGAAAACTCACAAACCCCGGGCAAAAGGGAACTTATAGTCCCATATAAGGACAATTTCATGAAGAGCAATATTCCTTCTCAACTATTCGTGTATTTCTGTCCCATACGTACATTCGGACTACGCTGTCTTCAACTTCTCGTCGCACGGTTCGCCGCGTTGATCAGTGTCTCAGGACAAACGGGCAGAAAAATACAAAATAAATTAAGTGTAAGGACAAAATGAAAGACGACATTCTTTATTTTACACTGTAAGCGAGATTAATGAGATGGCATCGTCGGAGCTCGCGGGGAACCGTGCAACAGGATTTAGACGCAAGAGCAGTCAAGATAAACAGACAAACACAACTGCAAAAAGTAAATAGTGAATCGAAACTTCCATTCGTTTTATTTTTCCTGAAGGTTCTGACAGGTTCGATTTGCGTCCTCTGATTGGCTGCGGAACTGATTCGTGCAATGATTCAGTCAAGATGCAAGATTTCCCGCCAAAAATGGGACTGTAGAGGAGGGGATACACCTAGGACGACAGTGACGACAATCGCAAGGAGACGCGTGACAGTAGGACTGGCAGCACGAAGGGAGTCCGACTCTGGGTCAGCAAGAGCAGGAAGAGAGGACTCAGGAGGAGAAGGCAAAGGGGCACGCAGCGGAGCAGTGGAAGGACGCAGAGACATCTGGTGCGTGCCGGGGACAGGGGGAGGACGCTGACGCGAACCACGACCACTAGTGCGAGCAGCACGGACAGGCGACGCAGGACGAGACGCAGGCTCACGACGCTCAGCAAGACCTCCAGTAGGACCAGTGTAGGGAGAAGGAGCAGGCAGTGGGGAGGCTGGCTGTAACTGTGACTCAGACTGGACAGGCGGCGGACACTCTAAGAGAGGAGCAGGACTAGTAGAGGGCGGAAGACCAAGAACCTGCTCAAGGAGCGGAACGAAGTACGGCCGCGGCCGGGACTTTCCTCTGCCCCTACCTGCGTTCCCAACCCTCCGCCTCTGCAGTGGAGCCTCTGTCGGAGGAAACTCGGAGGAGTGAGGTGCGGCGCGCTGCCGCCCCTCGACGCAGGGAACGCAGGTAGGGGCAGGCCCCGGAGGAAGGGGAGGGAGGGACCGGGGGAGACCAGAGACAAGGACACGGGAGGCCATGCCTCGGAGACGAGGCAGGGAGGGGTGCCCAAGGCGGTGGTGCCAGAGGAGAGTCTGGTGAGACAGGAGGCGACACGAGCAGGGGGCAGACTCAGGGCCAGACCTGGACGTGGCAGGAAACACCTGACCCGACGCAGCTACCTGACCAGACTCAGTGACCGGAGAAGACTCAGTGGTCAGTGTGTACAGGCTCGATCCTGGCCGACGGGTAAACGTGGCCAAGTGTCGGCCCGACCGAGCACACGTGCAGTGGGTCACTCGCTGACTCGCAGGAGTGAACTGGTGAACCCCTCCATCCTGTAGGTCAGCACCACTCACCAAGTTCGTAGAGAACGAGGGGAGGTAAAGACCTGACAGGGTGCCAGAAGGGGCCGCTGGACACGGTAGGACAGTGGAGTAGTGAGCAAGGACAGGACCCCCAGAGGGGTCTGCCAGAGAGACCGCCACTGGCCGACTAAGTGGCGTGAGTGTAGTGCGGTCTCGAAAGAAGGAGCGGGAAGCACCCGAGTCAAGGGTGAAGTTGTGACAGGCCTGGGCCGACGTGGTACCTGAGAGAGCAGACGCACCAGTACCTGGGGCAGTAGACGCATTGGCACCTAGAGCAGCAGCCTCACCAGCACCTAGAGCAGCAGCCTCAATGCCTGGGTCAGGCGGGACACACAGGTAACAGTCACCCTCATCACTAGTTGACACAGCATACATGGCAGCACGAATAGCATCAAAGTCTAGATCAAAGATTGCAACCCCCGACCTAAAGAGCTCGCCCCAGCGAGGGATCTCAGCGGCGCCAGGGAACTGGAGACGCCAAGCGTCCGTCAGGCGGCCGAAGCAGCGCTGGGTGGGGTGCGGGCCTCCGCACGTCTCACCAGTGCGGTCGCCGGTACGCAGGACGTAGGTACAAGGACCAGTACCCCCACCCGGCTGACGCGCAGCGTACCACTGACGAAGCTGCTGGGGGGACGGGGTCTCACGAGCGCGCTGCTGCTGCTGGCGCGGACCACCACCGGAGCCACCTCTCTGCGCAGAGCCACCCCGACCAGCGCCACCGCCGCCGCCGCCACCTCCACTACCGCCGCCACCGCCGCCTCCTCCGCTCCCGCCGCCACCGCCGCCGCCTCCTCCGCCTCCACTGCCGCCACCGACACCCCCACTCCCGCCACCACCCCAACCACCACCCCCACCCCCTCCGCCGCCTCCACCGCCACCTCAACCGCCCCCGCCAGCTCCACCAGCGCCCTTGCCCCCCTTGCCCTTGCCAGTGCGGCGTCTCCCGCTAGGGGCAGACGCTGCGCCGACCGACTCAAGACCAACTAGGTCGGCCGCAGCAGCAGAGGCAACAGAGGGCAAGAGGGGGGAGGGGGAACACCCCTCAAAGAAGGGGGTACGAGGGTCACCACGAGAGGCTCCTACATCGACTATACTCTTCTCTGCTGCCAGGAGGCGCTCCTCGAGGAGGTCAACGGTGAGAGTGGTGGGGCAAA